CTTTTGTTGTTCCATATAAATTTTTGGACTGTTTTCTGTATTTCAGTGATGTACGTCATTGGGGTGAGTGAGACTTTTAATTGAGACTTTTAATCCTGTGTGTTTGAAACACAGCATAATGCCTATTTTGCAAGAAGTGCTTTTTATATATGGTTTGAATTGTTACTATATTACTGATGTTAATTTTTTTTTTTACCAATAATGGTATAATAGATACTTTTTTTTGTCAGTTGTGGGGCTTGAATTGAGGCTAGGCACTGTCCCTGAGCCTTTTTGTGCTCAAGGCTAGCCTCTACCATTCAAGCCACAGCACCACTTCCTGTTTTTGAGTTCTGTATTGGTAATAAGAGTCTCACTGGGACTTTTCTGCCCAGGCTAGCTTCTAACTGTGATCCTCAGATCTCAGCCCCCTGAGTAGCTAGGATTATAGATGTGAGCCACCAGCACCTGGCTCCTGATCTGTGGAATTTTTGTTGGTGGTGATGGTTGTAAGGCTTAAACTCTGGGCCTGTGTACTGTCCCTTAGCTCTTTAGCTCAAGGCTAGTGCTCTACCATTTGAGCCACAGAGCCACTTCCAGTTTTCTGGTGGCTTATTGGAGATGAGAGTCTCATAGACTTTCCTGCCTGGGCTGGCTTTGAACCACAATCCTCCGATCTCAGCCTCCTGAGTAGCTAGGATTATGGGTGTGAGCCACTGATGCCTGGCCCTATGGTATTTTTAAAAAGCAGTATTTGATTAGAAGCAGGAAAATAATCTTCAGCATTACTGTACAGCTGAGAAATACATTTCTTTTCTCCAGAGAAAAAGCGTTATTTATACTTTTATAAAAATGAAACTATAATCTGGTACCAGTGACTTATATCTATAATCCTAGCTACTCAGAAACTGAAATCTGTGGAGATTCAAAACCAGCAGACAAATCTCAAAGACTCTTATCTCTAGTTAATCAGCAAAAAGCTGGAAAAAGAAGTGTGGCTCAAATGGTAGAGCACCAGTCTAATAAAGTACAAAGCCAAGCAAGAGTGCAAGTTCAAACCCCAGTACAGGCAACAAAATGAAAAGTATATAATGTAAAATGCTCCCCCCAAAGTAAATCAGGACATTTTTGGGGTGTGTGTGTGTGTGTATACACAGATGTGCCAGTCTTGTGTGTGTGTGTGTGTGTGTGTGTGTGTGTGTGTGTACACAGATGTGCCAGTCTTGCAGTTTTGGGACTTGAACTCAGTACCTGGGTGCTATCCCTGAGTTTTTGTGCTCAAGGCTACACTCTACCACTTGAGCCACAGCCACACTTCTAGCTTTTTACTGGTTTTGGAGATAAGAGTCTCATGAATTTTCCTGCCCAGGCTGGCTTTAAACTGTAGTCCTCAGATCTCAGCCTCCTGAGTAGCTAAGCCTACAGGTATAAGCCACTGGCACCAGGCTTTTTTTTGGTGCGAGTGGCTCACACCTGTAATTCCAGCTACTCAGGAGAGTGAGATCTGAGGATTGTGATTCAAAGTCTGCTGAGCAGGAAAGTTCATGAGACTCTTATCTCCAATTAGAAAAAAAAAATCCAGAAGAGTAACTATTTCTTATAAGGGTAGAATGCTAGGCTTGAGCAAAAAAGCCCAGGAACAGCACCAAAGCCCAGAGAACAAGCCCCAGGATTAGCACTAAAGTAAATAAGTAAATGTTTCAAATAGCCCAAGTTCCTTTGATACCTTCCTTGATCCCATTACCCACTCTTCGCCTAAGGGATTCTCTATCCTATAATTGGTGTTTTTCTTTATTATTATTTATTTCAATACTCTGACTGTATTTTGTATCTATCATAATATGTGGAACATTTGTTTTTTTTATTTTTATTCAACATTATTTTTGAGGCTTACCAGTAAGTTTCAATATAATGTAGTTCTAAATTCATTGCAATATTGCAATATGTTGATAGGTAAATATTCTATGTAACTAACATAATACATATCTCTTGAATATTTTTATACTCAGGCTCCAGAGGTTATTATGTCTCAACATTATGATGCAAAGGCAGATTTGTGGAGTATAGGAACAGTGATATATCAATGTCTAGTTGGAAAACCTCCTTTTCAGGTAAGTTGACATTTTCTTGTGCCCTCAGTTTTGAGAAATTCTAATTGTGCAGTTGCCTTTGATTCATAAAATGAGGAATCCTTTTTAAGTTTTTGTCTCCTTTGTAGCTTTAATTTTGCTATAGGCAAAACCTGCCATGTTGAGCCAGAATATTGTTTGTTTTTCCCCTTTAATCTGTTTACCCATGGTAGTTGGACTGGGTATTAAGGCTGGTGTATATTTTTCAGATTAAGGAAAAGTAGCTAGGGTCAGGGCTAACAACTGGTGGGGGAGGGTATAAGTGGTGACAGAAGGTCTTTCTGTGTGGGTTAGTTTAGTGATCCTAGAATCTTGGTTTAGGGCTAGTCAGATTGTATGTTCTATAGCAAGAATAAGAGTATGAATCATGATTTGGAAGTCTGTTCCCCTTAGCTGAAGATATTAAATCTTAACTTTTTTTTTTAAACAGGCCAATAGTCCTCAAGACCTAAGGATATTTTATGAAAAAAACAGAAGTTTAATGCCTAGGTATGTGTTTAGATTTCATTGGGGTTTGCTTTTTTTTTTTTTTCTTTTCTGTGCCAGTCCTAGGGCTTGAACTCAGGGCCTATGTCTTGTCCCTGAGTTACTTTTTGCTCAAGGCTAACACTCTACCACTTGAGCCACAGCTCTACTTCAGGCTTTTGCTATTTAATTCGATATAAGAGTTTGTCTCATGAACTTTATTGCCCTGGCTGATTTTGAACTACAATCCTCAGATTGCAGATAGGATTATAAGCATGTGAGCCACCAGTACCTGGCAGGTTTTGCTTCTTTTTAAGACAGAGTCTCACTAGATGTCCAGGTTGGCTTTGATCTTGAGATCATTTTGCCTCAACCTAGCAAGTGCTGGTGCATACCACCATGCCTGACTTATATTCATTTTGTACTCTGTGTGTGTGTGTGTGTGTGTGTGTGTGTGTGTGTGTGTGTGTGTATATATATATTAGACATTCAGCAATGGTATAGAAAGAGCTACTTCATTTTATTAGACATTCAGCAATGGTATAGAAAGAGCTACTTCATTCTTTTTTACTGGCTACATAGAGTCTAGTAGCTAGGTGTACTACCTTTTATTTATGTTTTCATATTTTGGTTACTATAAATAGGCTTTGTTGGAAAAGAGGAGCAGAAATATTCAAATGTATATTTGAATATTTCTTTAGAGTAGACTCCTAGAAAAGAAAATGTTATGTTAAAAGGTATGCTTTTCCAAATAGGCTATGCCAATTAATAGAGTAGTTAAAAAAAAATAGAGTAGCTCACAAGAATGCTGCTTTCCTCACACTTTTACCAATGCAGAATGTTATATTTAGCAGATTGAGGTCTCATAAATGGAAAAGGACCAATTAGCTATTAATGTGCATTCTTGTGAAGTAGGCTCTATTTGTCAAATATTCTATGATAGTTTTTATTCCATAACTTCTATATTCATGTTTCTCATTTTTCAATTGCTTAGTCATTTTCATATTAAATTTAAGAAATTACATTTCTAGTTTAAGTTTTGTTCTTTTTTTGGAGATGGCTGCTTGTGTGTGTGTGTGTGTGTGTGTGTGTATGCATGTATATGCATGTGTATGCATGTGTACGCATGTGCCAGTTTTGGGGCTTGAACTCAGGGCCTGGGCACTGTCTTTGAACTTTTTTGCTCAAACCTAACACTGTACCACTTGAGCCACAATCCATTTTGGCTTTTTTGGTGGTTAATTGGAAATTAGAGTCTCACAAAGTTTCCTGCCTGGGCTAGTTTCAAACTGCAATCCTCATATATTAGTCTCCTGAATAGCTAGAAATACAGGTATAAGCCACTAGCACGCAGAGGAAATGGCTTTTTTTTTTAAATAGAACTTTATTTTTTTGTTTTGTTTTTTTTTGTTTTTGGTTTTGTGTGTGTGTGTGTGCGTGTGTGTGTGTGTCGGTTGTGGTATCTGAACTCTGGGCTTGGCTCTGTCCCTCAGCTCTTTAGCTAAAGTCTAGCACTCTACCACTCGAGCCACAGCACCACTTCTGGCTTTTTCTGTTTATGTGGTGCTGAAGAATCGAACTCAGGGCCTCATGCATGTAAGGCAAGCACTGTACCAGTGAGCCACCTTCCCAGCCCTTAAATAGTACAAGTTGTGTTAAAAGTCAAGATGTCTGTGTATTTAAAGTGTTTTATTTTTTATTTTTTTTGGGGGGTCTGGTCGTGGGGCCTGAACTCTGAGCCTGGGCGCTGTCCCTCAGCTCTTCAGTTCAAGGCTGACGCTCTACCACTTGAGCCACAGCGCCACTTCCAGCTTTCTTTTTTTTTTTGCTTATGTGGTGCTGAGGCATCGAACCCAGGGCCTCATACATGCAAGGCAAGCGCTCTACCACTGAGCTACCTTCCCAGCTCCTAAAGTGTTTTATTTTTGCAGATACTTAAAACACATAATAATAGTAAACAATACAGTAATCTTGGGTAGGCGCCAGTGGCTCACACCTGTAATCCTAGCTACTCTGGAGGCTGAGATCTGAGGATCACAGTTCATAGTCAGCCAGGGCAGGAATGTCTGTACAACTCTCATCTCCAATATACTACCAGAAAACCGGAAGTGGTGTGTAGCTCAAGAGGTAGAGTGCTAGCCTTGAGCTGAAGAGCTGAGGGACAGCACCCAGGCTCAGAGTTCAAGCCCATGACAGACAAAAAAATTTAAAAAAATAGTAATTGCAAGTTGGTGGTACTTATCAAAGGTTTTTGTAGTGCTTTTTCTCTCTTACTTGAAGGTATGAGCCTTTATCATGGTCTTCCTGTTATGAACATAGTGTTTGTGAAGATACATATACATTATTTACCATAATGAAAGAAAAAGTAATGTATATAACTACCAATTCATTGGGTTTTTTTTCCTTTTCTTCTAGTATACCCAGAGAAACATCACCTTATTTGTCTAGTCTACTTTTGGGTTTGCTTCAGAGAAACCAAAAAGATAGAATGGATTTTGGTAAGTGATAGTTTTAAATTTTGCATGTGTTCTAATTTTTTTTAATATTTGTTTTTATTAAGTAGTTGTACAAACAGGTTTCAATTCCCAAAGTCATGTTATGAGATAATGTATCTTTTTTTTTTTTTAATTTTATTTTATTTTATTTGTGAACATACTGTACAGAGGGGTTACAATTGCATGGGCAGGATAATACGTACATTTCTTACCAAGCATTGCAGCCTCCTCCTTTGTTTACCCTTCCCATCCCTTCCCAGCCTCCCCCCTCCCCCCATCCCAATCCTTCTCCTTC